CTTGTACTGCAGCCAGCCCCCAGGGGGCGATCTAACGGCCGAGACCTTCACTCAAACGCAGGCTTGCGGCACACTTAGGCTGTAGTCATTAGGCAGTAAGGCTAACGCCCCATTCACATGGGGCGTCAGCGTCAACGCTTCCCATTCACTTTGAATGGGTGACATCAGGCATAGCCAAACTGCATTGTGGATCCGCTGAAGTGTCAGCCAATCAGATTGCTGTATGCAAATACACCAGCTAGACAGTGGCCCATTGCTGACAGAATTTCATTGGCTGACGCTGCTATGACGATCGCATTAGCCCCAACTTCAGACACGCCTTCAGTCAAGTGTTGATGCTGAAGCCCCGTGTGAAAAGGCCGTAAGTAGATCTGAGTGTCCTCAGCATAGCTGTGGTGGGAGATTTGGCTTTTTTCCGCATTATTTGGCTCAGAGGGAGCATATAACAACAGAGTTGCCAGATTTGAACCTTGTGGGACTCCACGTCACAGGTGTCCACCCTGACCTATGGTCACCTATACTGACATAGTAAACTCTCCCTTCAAGGTAAGATTTGAACCATTTGAGGACCGTGCTAGACAGCCCAACCTAGTTTCCCAGCCTATCCAGAAGTATGCTGTGATCGACAGTGTCAATTGCAGCACTGAGATCGAGCAGTACCAGCACTGTTAGTTTATCTGAATCTGTATTTAGGCGGATTTACATCAAACATCGAATAAAAATGCTAATTTTAAAGCACTTCATAAGACCTTTAATGTCACGCTTTTATTAAAACGTTTATCTTTACTGTACTAAATTGTATATTTAAATGTAAATAACACTAAATTTAAAAATCAGAATCAGATATTTGACATGTGCTTGCCAAAACACTCTCTATAAATCAAAGCTATGATTTAAAGGTGCAGTAGGTGATTGTCTTCAGAAACATTTGTTGTTGTGCTGGTTGAAAGTCTCTTCACAGTCTAATAGTAATGATTACAGTAAATGATCTAAATGTGTTTATATGTATTTTTATATTCTGGGTAAAGCATAAAACTAAAAAATGTTCATCCAATTAAATAGAGTCGGACCGACATCTCCCATAATTCCGTTAAGCAGGTCAGACTGTCTGTCAGCAAATGTAGATTCGGACTTCTGCGCATCTGTTCACGCAGATCCGCCATTAGCGCGTGCACGTCTGCATCACAAACGCATGCGCGAGAGCGAGCTGCTCGCCGTTGCCGAGACGGAGCCAGAGGCGCCGAAGGACAGACGAGCTTGGCCCGATTACTGTGAAGCCAGGCGCCAGTATAATTCGCCCTTAAAGCGGCCGCGCGGTCACGAGACGGACCGGGAAAATTCAAATGCTGATTTGAAACTTTTAAAAACCTGAATCAATATTGGAGTTACTTTAGCACGCTGGAGGAAGGACGACACCATGGCTGAAGTATTACTGTTAGACAGATAATGTTCTGTTTTAAAACTATTTTAGTCAAGCTAAGCTTATGTTAGATTGTGTTCTGTTATGAATGACTTCTATGCACAGACGTGTTGTTCAGCCACTGAAATCTTTCGGTGAAAGATTGATGTGATTATTTTCAGTTTCATAAGGTCCTTTGACAGCATCTATAATGTAGATTTATATTTAGTTTAACAACAAAACCTCAGTAAATAGCGCTATTCCGCCTAACCCGCTTTATGGAGCTAAAGTTGCTTTTATATTCACATTGGGTCATTTTTAAACAATGACAGCCTTCCTATACTGTTTACCATGCTACTCTGAATATTCGCTCTGAAATAGCATGTAAATGTGGCAAAGTAATTAATGTAATTCCTGCACAGCGCTGGCACTAACTAACAGGCGAATGACATGAACTAGTAGGTTGTCTGTCTGCTGTTGTGACGCGGTGCGCGCGCACTCGCGATTTCAGGGGGTGTGACTTTGAATCACAGTCCCTCCCTGCCGTCCAAAGATAATATGCTAAGCCAGGCGTGTCCAAACTACGGCCCGCGGGCCATCTGCGGCCCGCAATCAGTTTTGTGGCGGCCCGCGAGGCTTTTTATAAATATCAATAGAATCTGGCCCGCTATACAAAAATGAACGTAATTCAATTAATAACCACCGGGTGTCGCTATTACATGCATTCAATTAAGCAGGAGTTCTTGTTATGATCTATCTATCTGTCTGTCTGTCTGTCTATCTATATACACACAGTTGATGTCTGAATTATAAGCCCCTCTTTGATTTATTTCTTCTTTTTAAAATATTTCCCAAATGATGTTTAACAGAGCAAGGACATTTTCACAGTATGTCTAATAATATTTTTTCTTCTGGAGAAAGACTTATTTGTTGTATTTCGGCTAGAATAAAAGCGGTTTTAATTTTTTTATGAACCATTTAAGGTCAAAATTATTAGCCCTTTAAGTCTTCAGAACAAACCATTGTAATAAAATAACTTGCCTAATTACCTTAACTTGACTAGTTAACTTGATTAACCTAGTTAAGCCTTTAAATGTCACTTTAAGCTGTATAGAAGTGTCTTAAAAATATCTAGTCAAATATTATTTACTGTCATCAAGGCAAAGATAAAATAAATCAGTTATTAGAAATGAGTTACTAAAACTAATATGTTTAGAAATATGTGGGAAAAAAAATCTTCTCTCCGTTAAACAGAAATTGGGGAAAAAAATAAACGGGGGCTAACAATTTAGGGGGCTAACAATTCTGACTTCAACTGTGTGTGTGTGTGTGTGTGTGTGTGTGTGTGTGTGTGTGTGTGTGTGTGTGTGTGTGTGTGTGTGTGTGTGTGTGTGTGTATATATGTATATATGTATATATATATATATATGTATATATATGTATGTATATATATATATATATATATATATATATATATATATATATATGTATATATATATATATATATATATATATATATATATATATATATATATATATATATATATATATATATATATATATATATATATATATATATATATATATATATATATATAATCAGACATACTGATATTTTCGGTAAAAAACTAAACATTTAAATAATCAAGTTTACTGAAATAAGCACATTTAAAAATACTCTGTAAAAAGAAATTCTGTTAAATAATGGGTTCCTTATTCTGTGATTCATGCTGTGATTATGTCTGCCCTGTTGATTAAAAAAAATCCAACTGTGCAGTTTAACAAAGTGGCTTCAATTGACATTTTAGTAGCTTCAAACAGCATATCTTGAGTTATAAATAGTGTTTAGAGATTTTTTTAGAAACTGTAGGGATAATATACAGTTTGAAAGGTGCAGTGGGTGATCTGCCACAATGCTATCTGGTTAACATAATATCTTTGAAACACAGTCCCTCCCCTGCCGTCCAAAGCCACACCTATTGAAACACAAACGTGTGCACCTTAAAGATGACAGCAGACAAACCCCTTTCTCACATGCTGTCCTTAAACAACTCTGCTTAGTGATTGGCCTGCGTGGTGCAGGACTTACATTTATTACTAAGCTTGACATGTGCTATCGGTGAACTGCGTAAGCTACACATGCCGTAGTGTATGTGTGTGAAAGAGTGTATGAGTGTTTTCCAGTGTTGGGTTGCAGCTGGACGAGCATCCGCTCTGTAAAATTAATGTTGGATAAGTTGGCGGTTCATTCCGCTGTGGCAACCCCAGATAAATAAAGGGACTAATCCAAAAAGAAAATGAATTAATTAATGCTTTAAAACAGTGGTCACCAAACTTGTTCCTGGAGGGCCGGTGTCCTGCAGATTTTAGCTCCAGCCCTAATCAAACACACCTGAACAAGCTAATCAAGGTCTTACATGGTATACTTGATACATCCAGGCTGGTGTGTTGAGGCAAGTTGGACCTAAACCCTGCAGGGACACCGGCCCTCCAGGACCAGGATTGGTGACCCCTGCTTTAAAAGGTCCCCTATGAAGCTGAAAAGTCACATCAATCTTTCACTGGAAAATTTCAGCAGCTGAACAACATTTCTGTGCGTATAACCCATTTGTAACAACTAGGGATGTAACGGTATCAGAATTTCACGGTACGGTAATACCTCGTTATGAATGTCACGGTACGGTATTTATTAAATCATTTACAGGAAAAAACAAAACTTATGAAAATACTCCAAAAAAGTGCCAAAAGTGTCAATGACATACAAATTAGTCATCTATCTGTAAGCTTTGATACAGGAACTTCAATTTTAATAACAAAAAATTATTAAACCATGTAAAAAAATTAAGTTTCAATTTAGTATTGTTGAAAATTCATCACATTCAACATTTAATCACTCACTCACTTAGATAGAGATGGGTTTAAAGGAAAATTATCATATAAATATAATCTGGTAAAAGCTGGTATCTCTGGGCATTTACAATGTCCCCTGCAACAGAAAAAACCCCTCTCATTTGGGACTGAGGTTTCTGGGACAAGAGAGATATGACTTGGCCCAGGTTGACAGCAGTGGGTAACGTTGTGCATTGTCTTTCCCCCACTTGAGAGGACAAGCCATGAGTGAGATAGAGATCTC